GAAGGGGACGTAGCGATAGAGTCAGAGGGAATGGGGGGGGGGAGGCGGGCGAGGAAGAAAGCGATGCCTTCTTAACTGCCGGGCAAGAGGAAGGAGAGGAGCCAGGCTTACGTTTCTGACTCAGAGACAAGCGTTCCAGCAACACTGTACCGGGTGACAGACTTAATTGTCTCAACAGGAGAAGAAGAATGGGAGTGAACAACATGAAGATCGCTGAGAGGGTATTGGACAACAGCCTGGACAGACAGGCGGTGTGGAGGGCCAAGAGACTGGGGAGGGGGGGGGGTGGAAATTGGGAAGAAGGGAAAGAAGACACAGGAGACATGGCAGACTGGGTAGGAAGGAGGGAAAACTCCTGATGAAGAACCATGAGAGGGACACTTTGGGACAGAACATAAAGTTACAGGGGAGGAGGCGGTGGGCGTGTCCGGGTCTAATGCCTGGAAATGGTTGTTAGACTGAGTAAGGTGGGAAGGATGAGGAGAGGTAGAACGCAACACGCGAGCATAAGATACGCCAGTGAAACAGTTGAGACGGTGGACTTGGCGTCTCACTTCAGGAAAAGACAAACGATTCCGGTGTTTCAGGTTGAGGACAGCTTCCTCAAGTTTGTAGTGTATACACACATGGGGCATAGAGACAATACTTGTGCATTTGAAAGCACCAGGCCCGAACTTCCAGCACTTATTACAAAGTCTAGGAGAGAGAATGTACTCCTGAACGGAGCACCTGGCATCAGCAAGAATTATAGAGGGCAGAAGGGTCCTACTGTCAAACGTAATTTTCACAACTCGAAGGGGCTGATGGTGACGACCACGAGGGGGGACGAGTAAATATGTCCACCTCGAGGACAGAATGGCCTTGGGCTTCGAGGATATATTAATATCCTCGTGGCAGTCTTTTAGGTCCCTAACACCAGTTGCAACATGGTGCAGGAGAATAGTGCCAACACCGGCGTTTAACCGAGCGTTTTTGGAGAACTGAACACGGGTCTCCCCAATGCAGGACAATGCGGATAAGCAGGTAACTACATCCTGAGAAGGAGCAGCGACGACACATGTACTGAGACGGGTGAGGTTAAAAGTAACAGACACATCTACCGAGTCAACAAGGTGTTTATGGAAGGCGAAATCGTCAGGAGGTGTAGAATCCAGATAGTTGAGATCAAAGTATTTAGCCCACGTAGTGGGACCAAACAACGCGTGGTACGTATTTGTATGGGAAGGGATTGTGCGAGTGCGGCCGAGGTGGGGACAGCGTTGAGAACCCCCAAAGAGAGAGAAAGGGGTTAAAGGCGCTGTAGTCACAATGAGAGATGGAGCCGTGCCAGGGGACGAGGAGGTTACCACTGGGGGCTTGGGGCTCCACCCAACCACAGAGGAGGGAGGGGAATGGAGGGGGGAAGGGGAAAGTGGTCTGGTCTGGGCCCAATGTAGCGGGGGGCTACAGAGCCCGGTCTTCCAACACAGTCCGACTCAGGTCGCCCACCCCACGAACCTGAGAAGTTCTGGGAAGAAATTTATTCTTTTGAGAAGAAATAGAGATAAGTACCACAATTATTAGAGGATCATTATTCAGCGACATAAAAAAAGAGGAGGTAATACTTTCATTCACGAATGAGCCCCCACACCCACCATGGAGCCACAATTAGAGGACAGGACACCCAACAAGGGACAGGCCGGGGCCCCTCTAGGGGTGCGTATATCTATATCGTGAGTATACGCCCCACAATCACCACCTTAAGAACCATCAGTCCATCGAGAACAAGTTCAGCGACGAAAGGAGGATTGACAACTAAAGTGTCCCCCTCGTTCGCGACGTTGGGTACCACAGTTCTACGGGTGAGAGAGAGTGCCTCCCCAAACACCCGGGCATCAAAACAGAAGATGTCCGAAAGAATAGTCAAGACTGGCAAAAGGTCGACGGGAAATTACAAGTAGAAAGGAGAAGGAGGGGGGGGGGGAGAAAAATTAAACATAAGGAAAAGACACTTCCAGCATAATTCGTGAAGACAGCAGCAAGAGCGTAAGGCAGTAAAAGGACAGAGGACTGTCCCATGGAGCATCACACTCCAGCAGCCGCCGACCAAGCCTCCTCACGACGACAACGGGCTAGAAAGGGAGGGGGGGCACACTGTGACAAGACAAGGCCGTCTTGATTCTGGGACTCACTCCTGCTGGTGTTTCAAAAGCTGACAGCTTATAAACATTACCCATTTAAACTAAAGAGTAAACTAAGGCCACAGCTATAATGGTTATTCAAGCTGCGATATCTGAGTGGATATAACAAGAAATAAATCCTTGAGGACTCGCTAGGATGTAACTCTCAGCTTAAACAAAATATAGGCGAGTAGAACACGTCTGGGGGAGGGGGGGAGGAGGGACTAGACGAGAAACGCTCCTTGAAGAAAAATGGAAAAAGGAACAATGAGATTTCTCCTGTCTTGCATTGCCATTCTTTTGAGAAGAAATAGAGAGAGATAAGTCCTCATTACGTGTTTCCCAGTCTTTTTTTCTCAATAGAGCGTGGACTCTATTACATTTTTTTTTATATGCAGACGATGAGTCATAATGACGTGGCTGAAGATATGAAGACCAGATCACACATCAGAAGATGAGGAGACGACGACGTTTCGGTCCGTCCTGGACCATTATCATGTGGCTTGTGATAGTGCGAGATGACTGATGAAGATTAAGCCACCCAAGAGATGGCACGGGCATGAATATCCCGTAAAAGGGAGTGAGGGAGGCACGGGCATTAAGTAAGGGAAGAGAGAGGTGAGGAGATGGAGATTCCTAGAGGAAGGTAAGAGCAAGGCGAAAGGTACGGATGGGATGTGTGTAAGAAAGGGGGTGTAAGAAAGGGGGGGGGTAATAATGGATATAAGAATGGGAATGTAAGAATAAGAGGAGAAAGAAAGAAAAAGAAAGAAAAAGGATAGGTAGGCGCATGTTAGGTCACGTTTGTTAGAAAGGTTAGAGCATTTGAGTATGTAGTGTGAAGGGAAGAGAGAAGAAAGGCCTCTCTCGCTCTCATCACAGTCGACTTGATAAAAGTCTAGGACAGACCGAAACGTCGTCGTCTGCTCATCTTCTGGGATGTGGTCTAGTCTTCATTTAATTTATATATATATATATATATATATATATATATATATATATATATATATATATATATATATATATATATAATGTCGTACCTAATAGCCAGAACGCACTTCTCAGCCTACTATGCATGGCCCGATTTGCCTAATAAGCCAAGTTTTCACGAATTAATTGTTTTTCGACTACCTAACCTAACCTAACCTAACTTTTTCTGCTACCTAACCTAACCTAACCTATAAAGATAGGTTAGGTTAGGGAGGGTTGGTGAGGTTTGGCCATATATCTACGTTAATTTTAACTCCAATAAAACAAATTGATCTCATATATAATGAAATGGGTAGCTTTATCATGTCATTAGAAAAAAATTAGAGAAAATATATTAATTCAGGAAAACTTGGCTTATTAGGCAAATCGGGCCTTGCATAGTAGGCTGAGAAGTGCGTTCTGGCTACTAGGTACGACATATATATATATATATATATATATATATATATATATATATATATATATATATATATATATATATATATATATATATATATATATATATATATATATATATATATAATGAATTATTAAAGCATTGTGTTTGATTTAGAATGAATACGGAGCTATTTAAAGGGCCCCTTACAGCATTTAGCAGCCATGCACACACACTCACACTACTAAAGCTAGCTTGCCTAACCTTCACTACGACATCTGAGTACTTCTCGTATGCATTCAGAGGCTTTGTGCGAGAGTATAGGTACGCCTAGTGCTACGATTTAGCAGCAGGGGGGGACGCCTGGAGACGACTGCCAGGGCTGCTCCCCCCCACGGTCACAGGCAGAGAGAGGTAGCAGCCGGAAGTGGAGAACAGCCACAAGCCTCTTCGGTCACTCGGCTGAAATATGTGTTTTCTGGTCAATGTTTACATAGTTCATGTGTTGCATAGTGTTGCGTTTGTGCTTTGAAAGACGTTGTTCAAGTTCACAATAGAGATGAACTGCGTATATCGCTCTAGCGCGAGCAAATTCTTCTCATAATACCGTCAACACAATACAATTTGTTTGTGGAAATATTTTATATTTTTAGCAGAGCAACAATGTCGTTTTTATTTATTTGTTATTTAGGGGGAAATATTTTTAGTTCTAACATTTGTTTGTAGCTTAGTGTTCTATAGTCTATCATTCGAATCTTATGTTTTTCTTAACTTCAGGTGGAACGATGAAAATGGGAGATTTTAAGCAATAACCTATATCATATTTCATGAGAGTGTCATGCCATTAACTTCGGGCAATCGACATATATTTTGATTTTCATTATTCACATTTTTAATTCTCTAATGCAACAGGTTTGTTATTCCAATATACTATTGGTGTGCATTGTAGCACGTTGTTGACCCCTGACATCGAGCGGACTCGCTCTCACAGCCCCATATGAGAGCAAAAGATGTCATCAGCATCTCCAGCTTAGATATTTTGATAAGATGCATTGCTCAATACACCAGTAATGGAGATTACGCATTTCTCAGAGCGTCCGAGACTGCTTTCATAGCCGCCTCTCCTGCCTTCAAGAGTCCGTCATGAAACCAAGACGTGGGTGTCTTCCACTTATGACCCAAAGCATCTCTTCGTTACTCCAAGATCCTGGCCTGGGTCTCTGCACCACAGAGCGAGGTAAAGCTTCTCATCACCTGCCAGATGAGACTTCCGATCAAACCTCCCTCTTGGTAGGCAGCAAGAGGGCAGACCCCACCAAAAAAATAAAGAGATGACCGCCACATGCCACATCGCCGACGCTCACCACGCCCATCTCCTCTCAGCACAGGCGAGAGACAAAAGAGAGAGATACTGCGCGTCTCCTGGCCACAGCGCGCCCCGTGTGTGTGTGTCAGCCCTAGGTTCTCCTCCTCACCTTCTCCTGCACCCTGACGGCAGCGGTGCGGAAGACGGCGGCGTCGAACTTCTCCTGGTCCTCCGGCCGCACCACCTCCCGCAGCTCCGTCAGCAGGCTCATCTACGGAGAGAACATCTCGTCAAGACGATGGCTGATGGGGAGCTTGATTTGTAGAAGGGTTTGTGAGAGGAGTAGAACGTAAAGAGGGAGTTAAACAGCCAGCCCCACTTCCTTAACTGCTAACCGCTACATAATCCTGCATAATGGTCCTGCGAGATACCCTACATGATCCCATAGAACGGTCCTCTGATATACCCTACATGACCCTATACATCAGTCCTGTGAGATACCCCTACATAATATGCCCCATTATTACACACAACAGTCGAGGTCCAGCAGAGTAATGGGCCCAGAGGCAAAATAAATTCAACAAGTAACTTACGTAGTTTTTTCATGGCACAGTTTCGATGGATATTGTAAGTAAAAATAGACTGAATAGCTCTATTAACACTGAACTCCTCATTACCGCCAAGAGAAGAGCAGGCCAGACTACATCAGTTAAATTTCTGTGAAAATTTTCGGAGTCAGCCTAGGTGTACCCGATCAAGAAAGTGTAAATGGAAGTATCTGTGTATGTGAGACGGCAGCGTGTGTGTGGGACTCGTTAGTGCAGTTTGTGTATAGCCTAAGTGGAAATAATGTAGGCTTTTCTTAGGACGAAAGCTACCAAATAATTGGTCTATGGTTATAGGGGGGCGGGGCGGGGGGGCTTTACACGCAAAAGTTCAGAATGGTCTCACAGGCAATGTAACACGCAGAGGAACACAGGACTTCCAAAAAAATAAGGCAGAAAAACACAGTTTAAGGTCTCCTTAAGGAGACCTTAAGGCTCCTTAAGGTTTAAGGAGCCGGTCGGCCGAGCGGACAGCACGCGGGACTTGTGATCGTGGGTTCGATCCCAGGCGCCGGCGAGAAACAATGGGCAGAGTTTCTTTCACCCTATGCCCCTGTTACCTAGCAGTAAATTAGGTACCTGGGTGTTAGTCAGCTGTCACGGGCTGCTTCCTGGGGGTGGAGGCCTGGTCGAGGACCGGGCCGCGGGGACACTAAAAAAGCCCCGAAATCATCTCAAGATAACCTCAAGAAGATAACCTCCTCATTTGAAGGGCAGAAGAACAGACAGTTTGAGGTCTCCCTTATAAGTAAGGTAGGAGAACACACAGAACATACAGTCTTCCTCATTGGTAGGGCAGAAGAACTCACAGTTCAAGGACTACAGGATAAGGTAAGGCAGAAGTACACAGTTCAGGGATTCTCTCATAAAGTATGGTAGAAGAACGCACAGTTTAAAGGCTTCCTGATAGGTAAGGGAAAAGAACACACACACTTCTAGGACTCCCTGAAATTTAAGGCTGAAGAACACACAGTTCAAGGATTTCCTGATAAGGTAAGGCAGAAGAACACAGTTCAATGACTGTCATAAGGCAGAAGAACACACAGTTAAAGGATTACCAGATAAGGTAAGACAGAAGAACACACAGCCTAAAGACACAGGAGTGACGAAGGTATGGGTTCCACAGGCCAGAGAGACAGGACAGCATTAGTTGATGTCCTGCATGCAAATAGCAAACGAATATATGTGCACAAACAACCTTTTCACATTACACCTACATTAATTAATAACTTGAATGCAGCCGGCAGATTAATTCAAGTCAGATCCTAAATAAATTCCTCGTGATTGGTAACCAATATCAGGGAGCAGGTATCAATTAGTGGCACAAACAGTGCCAGTGAGTTTGGTGAAGCTTGTTTACTCTCCCCGGGTAGACAAAGAATATGCCGGTAGAGATTCTACCCTAAATGTGGGTAGGACACTGATAGTAAATTGATAACGGGGGAAATATGATGTACTTCAAATGCTTATTATGAGGACGGTAATGCGATAAAATTATAAAAATTCACAGAAAACGGTGAGAGGTAATACTGACAACGCTTACAATAATGCTCATAATGATCTATACAAATCAATAAGTATTGTAAGAGTGAAAATTCGGGAGTTTTACCGGAGTCCGGCCTTCCAAACATCTTGCCTCCCAGCTCTCTTTCACTCACAGAAAACGTAATAAAAAATATATAAATTTGGGTTCTCAGAGGGACGTAGCCTTCTAAGTGATATTGCCCTATAAATCACCTTTTTTACTGGTGAAAAATTTCGCGTTTCGCATTAATAGGACGGGAACATAATTCATGAGACAATTTAACGACCAGCAGGACATATATAACCAAAATGTACTTATTAGGCTTTCATGGTGTAGTTAATTTAGAAGTTCCTGCAAAAAAAAAAAAGCACACGCTGAACTTTCCGTTAAAGAGGAGCTGCAAATACATATTCCGTGTTACATTGAAGGTATAGCTTAACAAAATTTTAATGTTTATACCGACCTGCACGCGCTTGTTCTCTCCTCTAAACGATTCAAAGACAACACAGCTTTTCTCTCACCAACACACTCCCGTTCTCTCTCTCTCTCTCTCTCGAAAACACTCCCTCTCACACTCTCCAAAACACTGCCTCACTCTCATTCGCACCATCACACTCTCACCAACAAACAACATTCCTCCCATTGCTGTGGAGAATATCCACTATGGTGCTCAGTAATTATTCATTTAAAGTATCCATAAGGCACCGCTTCTTCATGGGTTGCCTTATAACGAATCATTTCTATGTATACTGGCGCCATCATTTGAGGTTTCAATTTTCTTTTTCACCTACACACCACTTCATTATTCCAATTTTCTTTTGCATGACTAATAAATTTTTAAACGCGTTCCATGATATACACTTTACCTGGATGAATGACAATGGTCCTCTTGCATGTTACAACTATCTTCTAAGTGTGTAATGCTCATACTCTCTCGGACAGGCCCCATATAAGTTGGGATCTAACCAAAGGGATCACCAAATGCTGAAAGGGGTTTTAATGGAGCTCAGAATCGCTGGGGCAGGTTTTCCCCACTCTCTGATACAGAAGACATCTTACAATACCTTTTTTTACGTCTGCTGCCATACCTGGCCTTATGCCTGCACCTTAATTTTGTCCAATTTGCAATCAGGAATCAGGTTCTTCAATATTAAACTGATTTGCTCCAGTACCTCTCATTATGTTGACTCGGTGTTCGAGCTGACACCCCTACACTCGCTAAATCTTTACAGGATTATATCCCTCCATAGTGAGCATCTTTCTTTGTGGTTTGTCCACGCTATGTGTTTTGCTCATGTACAGAGGTCTGGTTCTACTCACGGTGAGACACACCACTCTCCTGCCTTGCATACATTCCCTATACTTATGGGTCCAGGCTTGTTACAATTACAGCACCGCCTGGGGGCCTCGTAGCCTGGTGGATAGCGCGCAGGACTCGTAATTCCGTGGCGCGGATTCGATTCCCGCACGAGGCAGAAACAAATGGGCAAAGTTTCTTTCACCCTGAATGCCTCTGTTACCTAGCAGTAAATAGGTACCTGGGAGTTAGTCAGCTGTCACGGGCTGCTTCCTGGGGGTGGAGGCCTGGTCGAGGACCGGGCCGCGGGGACACTAAAAAAGCCCCGAAATCATCGCAAGATAACCGCGCATCTAGAGACTCTTTTCGCCTCTTCAGCTGGTACTAATGCTCCCGCTCCTTCACTGCTTGCTTTTAATTTAGATGCAATTTCCAGTCTCATACTGGCTTCTTTAGCGGACACAAATTATATCCCAAAGTGGTGGGGGATTTAACTGGTCCTTCGTACAACTCTCCAATACTGATGAGTCCTCCTTACTACTAAATTCCTAAACATAAAATAATCTAATCTAATCCACTACAAGAATGAAATTCACCGTTTATAAACAAATACAAAACCTTAATATAATCTGACTGCGCAGTATTGTGCTGCCTCTGAGCGGCGCCAACAGACGCTCATGGCATCATAACATAGCAGTCAATATAACTCCCAACATTAATTTAATAATATATTAAAATTATCCCTGAATATATATAAAATGAGTTACTGAATGACTATTCAGACAGTGTTGGATTTTTATATCTTTAAATAAAAAGTTTTAACCGCTCTAATAAGTGATCAATATAATCTCTCATGTGAAAGGGCACACTCGGTTCAGTCGCCATTATACAGAGACGACGGTTCATTATCTACCACTGTACACAGAAAACTCCTGTTGTTAGCAGCTGTTCTGCATCGTTGAAAGTCGTTATAAAAGCATTGGTTTAAAATATATAGTGTCCATGTTTAACTCGTTTTCTTTGAAACTGTCTGAAGATGCTGGTTTTCGGTAAATTAAATTCGTCGGATACTCAAATAGTTTTCCAATTTCATATTTCACTGAAAGGTTGGAATAGGGGTCAAATAGGGTTGTTCTCCACCTCACACTTTACCAAAGTTGAGCGAGACTCCGTCATTCTTTTGTTGCGTCTTTCTTGGCCACGTTAGACATACTTTCTTATATGGGACTCGATGGGTACAGTTACGAGGCATACAAATATTAACTATTAAGTAGGCCTACTATTTATCTCAGAAAGAAAATAGAATATAATTCTGATCTTACTATTACTGTAAACTAAACCTCGTCTGCAGGAAGGAATTCGACGACATATCTATTGCATAGCTAGAGCGGACACCAGGCTGCCTAGCTGCCAGAGGTAAAGATATACTGAACTTCCTGGCAGCTCACGTCTCTGAATTAAATAATACTAACCCGAATTTGGTTTTCCCAGCCATTAACAAAGTAAACTAAATATTCTTAAAACCTTAAAATTAAACCAAACCCATATGTTCAACAATTGAGTGAATAGCCTAAGTTCTATGTGAGTAAAATTCAAATGAACTAACTCCCAATATTTAATGTAGTATTAAGCAACCTCAAAATATTATATAGTCTACTACTCACCACAATTAACAATAAATTCAACACACCCATCAACACTCATTTTCTCTCTCTCTTTCTCTCTCACCATCACACTAATCCTTCTTCTCTCACACACAGCACACAGTGAGTGCCTCTTCTCAGAAACACCCGCGGTCTAACGGACCCTAACAAGTACAGTGTGTATGGTGGTTACTGAATGAC